GGGGTGAGGTTATCCTCCTTGGACAACGCGCCAGGTTTTTATAGACTCTCCTTAAAAGAGTTCGCTGCTTTTCACAGGGTTAATTTATGGGGCTTTCGAGGAATACTGCGACTTTTAAGATGCTCTTCATTTTTTTCTCATTATTTTTTGTTGTTGTTACACTCCTAAAGGCACTCCCGGGTTTCAGCACCTCGCGGGACAGGGGTGGGGGGTGGAAGAAAGAGCAGGGCCGGGAGGGCGAAGGGGAGGATTTACCTACAAATCAAGACGCCCACACGGCTCAGGTTGCCCAACATAGTTTTTAAAATTAAATTTCTAACCAAGTTACGGGCAGTAAAACTCAGATTGAGGACCTGGAAGGAAGTTGAGACAAACGTGGGGCACATACACCTTTTCCTAGGTCTCCGCCAGTCTGAATTCGCTACTAGGAGAATGAAGAGTTTGAGGCCTCAGGAATTTTAAAAGTTTAAAAACCGAGGGCAGGCGGGAGAAAGGGTTAGAGTAACAGGTGAGGGGTGGTTGTTTGGGGGAGGGGGGAGGGGAAAGCCCCGAGACCGCGAACTATCAGTGTGGGGTTCCTGCCCCAAGCACCCCCGCCCCAGCCTCTGGGCGCGCAGAGGGCTTAGGCCTGCGAGGCCTGGGCTCCTGGGGGCCAGACCTCCGGCTCGCCATCTTTGGTCCCTAGCGGAGGCTGGTGGTGTTCATGCTATAGATTACCTTAAAGGTTCCTTTAAGCGCTTTAATACACAACTAGCTCAGAAATCATTAAGAGACCTAGAGAAGGAGAAAAAAGACCCTCACACTCACCGGTAATAAGTGTTGACATGCAGCAAAAATCGATTGAGTGGAACCGAGGTGGTGGCAGTAGCGGTGGCTGAAGGGGGGACCCGCGTGGGAGCGGGAGGGGCGAGAGGACCGACTCCACTGGCTCAGGAACTAGGCTTTTCTCACTTGAAGGGAAAAAGAGGTGCAGAAAAAGGTTGGCGGGCGAGCGGGGATGGGTGTGGGGAAGAAGGGGGGGGTGAGGAGGGTAATTCTTCTTTCTGGAAGTCCAGGGAAAGGAGCTGAGGTGGGAAAAAGGGCTTCTCCTCAGTCCCGAGTCTCCGCCCCCAAGCCCGCACCACTCAAGTTGGGGATGAGACAACTCTTCCCAAACCTCGACTTCCATTTTTGTTTTTTGCAGACTGATTGATTTCCTCGAAATAGAGTTCTATTTCAGCCAGCAAACTAGGCCCAGGTCCGCCTCCTCTATCCCGCTCTCCCAAGTCACTCTTAGACCTGCAGGAGACGCAAGTCCTCCCAGCAGGTCTCGTTAGCGTTTCCAGCCCCCATCCCCAAATCCCCTCTCCCAGTCCCCTCCTCCCCCTCCCCCGTCGCCCCTCCCCCCATACCGGGCGGAGCTCGGGGAGGCCCGGACCGCTGGGCTCGGCGGCTCCAGAAGCCAAAGTCCGCCCGTGGGGACCGTTTTCCTCTCCACTGCTCTCAAGTGAACAACAAGGACGGAGGTGACCCTCGGCCAAAGGGCTTTTATCTGCCCCCCACTGCCGCGTGATCCCTCCGTAGGTTAGAGGCAGAGCTTAAAAAAGAAAGAAGAAAGAAAGTTAATGTGCATTGAGCACTGATCTTAAACCGGGGACATTATCTGCGATCTCTTTAAGTGGCAGCAGCAGTCCTATGCAGAACAAAGACTCACTGTCCGAGGCTCAAAAGCTTATAGGTAAAGTTTCAGTTAGATAAAAGTAACCTAAGCGCAAAAACACAGGTTTTCTCGGCTCCAGAAAACTCCGGGCTACTTTTCACTCCCTGTTCCCTAGGGTTGTGTTTATCCTCACCCACTGGGGGGAGGACGGTGACCAGAATAGCAAAGGACCTCAGGATTTACCCCTCACTCCCCCTCCCCCAGCGCCTCGGTAATGAATTCCTTCGGACTAAGTCGTATTTGCTACGATTTGTTACGAAATCGAATTTCACATTAAAAAGAAAAAAGCTGAAAACCACCAACAAAGGAAGAGCGGGTGCTTAAAAGTTCTTTGAAACACTCACACGGACCTCATTCCCCGTTTAGATGTCAGAGGATGGGAGGGAGGGCCAGGGTTGTAATTCATCTTGATTTGCTTCATTGTCCCGCAGTTTGCAAACTATAATCCTGTATAATTTCAGGAACAAGCAGGTTTAGAATTAATGGGTCAATATTATTTAAAACAAAACACGGGGAGCGTGACCTTTGCCTCAACTACATATTGCTCGACAAGATTCAGGAAACTCCACTCTAACCTCTCACCCCCTGGGCTCTTCGGGAAACTAAGGGGCTGTAGTTATTAGAAATGGTCTTTGTTTCTTTTAATGTCTCCTAAGGATTTGGAAATAGAATGCAATATAACATGAAGAATCTCTCTACTTAAGCCTGAAAGATAAACGTGGAGGCCTAAATATTTTGAACTGGAGGTGTTTCCTTGTAAACTTATTATAGATGTATTCCTCTTGAGAGGAATGTATATAA